AGAGGTAGAAGGCTAAGTCTGGCTCTGCAGAGATAATCCTCCAACTGGTGTTTCGCTGGCAATCGCGTGCCCCGAGTTCACCGTTGGATACCCATAGGGTACACCACGCTGGAATGCGGTCCCCACGGGGGTCCAGAGATACTGTGGTGTGTGCAGAAGTGCATGCGTGTCACCCCACAGTCCCCTCCGTGAACAAACGCAGGAAAGACCATCAGCGCTGCGTGCAGGAAGACCTTAGGGAGTGGAGGATGGGGAGGGTGGAGCACATCCAGAAAAGCCCGAGTTGTTCGAACGGCATGCTTCCGCCAGCCTAGGAACGAGGGGCTGCAACGCAACCTCACCCTCTTCTGTCCAAAGCACAGGACGGCCACGCCGCTGACACCGTACGAGACAACTCTTACACTGAGATGGAGTATCGCATGCAGGGACAGGTCGTCTTCAACAGCTAGACCTCTACTGTGCAGTAGGGCAGGGCTGCTGCCAGTAGCTCAGGGCGAGACGGAGCGAAGACTGCCTGTGAAACTCCAGAGGAGGAGGACCAACAAGCATGAGGAAGACCTGGGAGAGCATTCAACGGCAGAGGTAGAGGGGGTGCGGCGCAGTCACGGAGGGCAACGGATGGGTAAAGGACTGGTGTAGGAAGGCTGCAAAAGAGTAGGGTTCCCAGGTAGCCTCTCCCAGAAGCACAGGAATGCATCGCCTCACTCATCTCAGAGCCCATCTATCCCTAACACACTGCACCACCCTTGCCCACAGGCGACAGAGCAGGAAGGGAAAAAAAGGGCCTAGAGGCGACACGGCCAGTCAAGACCTTCGGGTCCAGCATGTTACCATCTGTGAAGCCCAGATCCTCGCCGCTTCTCCAGTCGAAGCGCCGGCATCCTCCCCGTCCCGGCCGCGGCAGCTTCGCCACGGAGCAGCGACAGCTGTGTCCCGTGAAGCTGCGGCCTCTGCCCTGCCGGATGAGCACTGCTCTGGCAACGTTTCACCAGGGCCACAGCTCTGACCTCCCCGACGGTCCTCGGTCAGTGGTTGTATTCGTGTACTCGGCGCAGCCTCCGCAGGGGCCTAAGATCTTTGTGAAACCATACACCCCGCACATACAAACCGTTCAGATGCGTGAACAACACAGGTTTGACACAGAGTCACTCTACAACGGGATCTCTCAATGCCCTGTGCACCCTGGGGGATCCTCCTGCCTCCCCCAAGGAGAGTTTTCAATCCTTGTACACTGTTGCCTTTAGCATGTTTTTGTTTCTGTTTTTTTAAAACATGTTTTGAGGCTTCTATTAAAACACAGAAATACAGAACAATTAAAAACCAGCACAAGTTTTGCCTTTCCCAGCGACCTATTTACAGCTAGTTCCAAAACCCCTCTTGCACATTTTGGTTGCTTAAAAAGGGGAGGGGAAAAAAAAAAAAGAAAAAAGAGAAAAAGGAAAAAAAGAGAGAGCGCGCTAAAAAAGGGAAAGAAAAACACCTGACTGAGGAAAACCATAAATGAAAACTTTACAAACTGCCACAGGGTCTGGATGTCCCTGGTCACCACGCAGGGTTCAAAGTAACAGCCCCACTCCCAGCCCCTCCACCCTCCCCTTCCCCAAAAAAGAAAGGAAAAAGAAACCCAATTCACATCAAGTTTACTGCACATCTGGTTTTCTGTGTAGAGGCAAATCCGATATGAAAAGCATCCCACATGGTGTCCTCCACCGGCATTGGCCCCCAACCCTCCCCCAAAGAAAGGTTTAAAAACGCCCTGTCCCCTCCCCACCCCTGAGCGCCAGCCAGGGTTAGAAAGGCAGGTTCGCCATGTTCCCAGGCCCGGGGATGTAACTCATCTGGCTGTCCAGGGAGACACTCCTCTGCCTCATCTGGTGCGTGACCATGAGGTTCTGCTGAGGCGGGGGCCCCATGAGAGAGCCCTGAGGTGACATCATGTGTCCTGTCTGAGCATACATCTCCCCCGACACAGACATGCTTCTCTGCTTGGCCTGCATCAGCATGAAATTCTGCTGGGCCATCAGGCTCTGCTGCGGAGACATCATGCCCTGGTGCATGCTGTTGCCCATCATGCCTTGCTGGGGCGGTATGCCTGTCCTGCCCAGCATGGGCACTTGTCCAGGATGGCACATGGGCATGCTGAGTCCCCTCTGCACGCCCTGCTGCCCGGGGAGGCTGGGGGCATTCATACCTGGCCGCACCGAGGGCTGGTCAGCCATCATGTTCTGCAGGTTCATGAGGTGGAGGTTGGAAGGCTGCGATTTGGGCGCTTGGCTGTCGCTCTTGGGGAAATACTGCAAGGTGCTGCTTGGCTTCTCTGATGGGATGATCCTGGACAGGTCAAACTCGGGGATACCTGTGGGGGTGGGGCGGATGACCTCGCTGAGCTCAGGGTCGTTCAGCACCGACGCCACCCCAGGAAGCACGGGCGGGTAGGGCTCGCCGATCCGAGGAGGGATGCTCTTGCCCATCATGTGCTGCTGAGGGGGCATCTGGCTGGGCTGCTGGGAGGGAAGGTCCTCAGGCGGCAAGGGCATCCCTGGCGGGTAATGCTGCTGCATCCCAGGGCCACCTCCCCCGCCGGGGGCCATGGGCATGCCTCCGGCGGGAGACGGCATGGCGCTGTGGGGCTGCTGCATGCGGGGGAACACGAGCTGGTTGGAAGGAATCATCTGCGAGCTGTTAGGCACGGGGCCGCACTGCTGGTTCAGGGAGCCCTGGGGCCCTGGGGGCAGCATCATGGGGTTCTGGGGGGGCACGCCCGCCCCTGGCGCACTTGGGTGCATAGGAATGTTGGAGCCCAGAGGGTTCGGGGAGGACATCATGGAGGTGGGGGGCGGTTCGTGGGAGAGGGGTTGCTGACCAGGCAGGTTCATTCCCATGGGGCTCTGAGAGGACCCAGGCCCCACGGAGTTCAAGTGCAGTTGATTCGGCTGATTCCCCGTCACGCCTAAGGAGAGGAAAAAGAGAGAAGACTTAACTCTGCCCACAGACCTCCCAGGGCTGCAAAATCCACACCCTGGAAGCCTGCCGAACACTTCTGCTCAGAAAGCCCTGAGCGTGGAGCGTAATGCTCAGTAAGCAGCCGCAAGATGGGCTTGCAGAGCACTAACGTCAGGAAAAAGTGCCCCAGACTCCAGCTCGCCAAGCCCAGGAGCAGCAGAGAGCTGTTCCAGCTTCATCCAGTCCCACGCTGGATTTGTAGTTCCTTACAGCCCACTGATTTTAGAGTCCCGGCTGGCTCTGCATGTTGGGACAGCCCTACACCATGATCTCAGCAGGGCTCTCAGCTGCCTGGAAGGCACCAAGGAGTGACCCTTCACCACGGCCTGCCTGCAGGGTTAGCCACCCAGCAAGCTCCTGTGACCGCATGGCCTTGGGTGGCAAGCAGAAAAAAAAGCAGAAGAGTCGGCAGCCCGACACAGGTGCTGTCCGGGAGGGAAGACTGTGCTCATCGGCACAGCAGAGCGATCAGTGCCTGCAGAGGGGTTCGGGTTAGGAGGGAGCCAATGCATTTGCATGCCTGCGGTCAAGCTAAGTGACTACTCAGCAGTGAAAGAGTCAAGAAGTTGGTTTTTCATTTTGAAAACTGCCAAAAGTATTTATCAAACAGCTTTAAACCCCTAAATCAAGTGGTACAGCATACTGGAATTCCCCTTCGGGCTGGTCACCACGTGATGAAAAACACTCATTTGCCTAGCTGTCCTCACCAGTGCCACCAGTTAGTGAAGCGTGTCTGGCTGTCGCCTACTGAAATCAGAACTATGCTACGACATAGCCTTGCCTGTGCAGGCACCTGGGCTCCACTCAAAACACCAGACTCCCGAGCCCTGTTCAGAGCGTCCCTGTCCCGCTGCACGAGAACACAAGGGTTCCAAGCAGCAGACCTCTGCCTGCAAGTCCTGGGCCTAAGACAACTCCAGGAGCTATGAAAATCCAGGGCCGATGTATCCGCACAGGGTAAAGGTAGTTCCAAAAACTTCCAGAGCTCGTGGAAGAAGGGTGCCTCAAGTGCCAGACTGGCTCATGTCCTTCCAGACAGCACACCCAAGCCAAAAGCTGATGGACAGCCTGGGCACAGGGCGGAGAAGTGAGCAGACGATTACGAACGAGGGCAAATCTAAGCTATTTGACGTGGCAGTCGGTGGGAGAACACAGTTTCTAATGCCTCCTCCACCTGGTGCCCTCAGGCCTGCTGGCAGAGACAAGACGGTCTGACCCCTTGCAGGCCCAGCCCCAGAAGTATGTACCTGACATGCTTCCAGGCGGGAGCATAGGCCTGTCCGGCAGCAGCTCATCATCAGAGGTGGCGATGGTTTTGATGGCATTGTGGTAAAGCGGTGTGGAGCTGGGCATGGCATACTTGGACATCTGGGACATCATCAGCGAGAGGGGGTTCTGGGAGGGGGATGGATCTGGAGAGGAAGTAAAAGGCATGTTGGGATTCATGGTGCTAGAGGTGTTACTGGCTGGTGCGGAAGAGCTGCTCCGAGGCCCAGAAGGGATAGAACCTGCAAGCAAGAGAGAGACCAGCTTAGTACCGCCCGCACACCATGGCTTGCTCCTGTCAGACAGCAACCCCACCCCCTCCTTCTGACAGCAGCGACCAGAGGAGGCTGCAAAACGCAGAGCTGGCACAGCCCAGCACCCTCCGGACTCTGAGGAGGCCCATGTGGAGACCCTGCTCCAGAACGGTGATGGACTTCCGCTTCAAACTGCCCCTGACTGCCCAGCACAGACGCATCTTTTGCTGCCTGTATCACAGAGCGTGAGCCAGGGTTGCAGTATAAGCTGCTCTGTTTGCCTTCTCGTCTCCCTGAAAAGGCCCTGTTTGGACTCCTGGGAAAAAAGACTCGCTCCACGAGACGTAAAGGCATGCGCAGGCACGAGTGCCTTCCCCACTCCTGCGAGAGCACGTGGGCTGGAAAGAAACGCTGTCCACACACTCACCAAAACCGAGAACACACGCGCCCTCGCACACAAGATACCCGGCATACCCTGATCCAGTCCTCCCATGGAAGTAGACGAGTTCATGCCGAGACTCTGCTTGCTCTGGTTGACTCCCGGGCTGGGCATGGTGGCTTTGGGAGACGGCACCCAACCAGGGGAAGGAACAGCCATAGAAGGGGACTTCAGGCGGCTTGGTGAGCCAGTTGGAGACCGGACATTAAGCGAGGAGCTCATCACCTGGGGAGACTTCAGGGGTCCAGACTGGTTTGAAGGTGGCATGCTGACCATCTGCGAGGGCGTCTGCGGGGACTTGAGGTTGGCAGAGGGGGAGGTGACCAGTGGCGAATGCACCTGGCTGAGGGTGGGAGACTTGAGGTGACCCATGCTGGGGGAGTTCATCTGGCTGATGTTGATGGTGAGGTCAGAGGGCCGGCGGCCCAGCCCCCGGGAAGGCGGTGGGTGCATGTTGGCCAGGTTGCCCCCTTGCGTGGGAGTGGGATTGGAGGCCGGAGGCAGAGGGATGTGGCTGAGCCTTGTGGTGCCACTGATGCTCCCAACAGGCATGGTGCCCTGCTCAGGGCTGAACATGTCCGAGCCGCTGCCCATCTCCTGGGGTATGCTGGGGTAAGGTCCTTGCCCGCTCGAAAAGCCTTGCTGTCCTTGGTTGGGGAACTGGGAGGGAATCATCATTTTCTGGGGACCCCCCAGCATTGCACTGCCATTGCCATTCTGAGCCCTTGCCCTGGCCAGCTCCTCGGGGCTCATGCCCTGGTGGGCCATCATATCAGGGCCCCTCATCTTCTGCGACATCATCATCTGCTGCTGCGGGGTCATCTGGACATTGAGGTTCATGTTCATGTTCATGTTGACATTCATGTTCATGTTGAGGTTGCCAGGGCCCATGGGTGCGTCCATGTCCCGAAGGCCCGACTGACTCATAGGGGGGCTCAGCATCCCCCGAGTACCTGCAAAATCCATTCCCATCGGGGCACTGCTCAGGCTGTCCCCCGTTATCTGCCCAGCAAACATGGATGGATCCATCTGCCTGTGAGCCTGTATCATCCTCTCCATTTCCATGCCCTGGCTCATGGAGTTGCCGGACATCCCCATGGGCCTTTGCATTGCCACTGGGCGTTTCTCCATCAGCTGATGCCGCAGGATCTCCTCCCTGGCACGGGGATTCATGAACCTTTCGGGGTCCCCTTGCCCTGATGGGTAGGGCAGGGTGCCTTGCGGAAAGTTCCCGGGGCCTCCCATAGGAGGCATATCGTCGCTCCATCCCATGCCGGGCCTGACTGGCCTCTGCATGGCATTCATGGGCCCAAGAGCATCCAAGGGCATGTTCTGCATCCCTCCGAAGCCAGAGACTCTCTGCATTTGATTCCCAGGGAACCGTGGCCCTGGGAAGGGTGGCCCTCCCCGCAGCTGCATAGGGTCCTGCACATCTATGGGTCCCCGCAGCTGGCTGCCCATCCCTGGCGGCCACTGCTCTCCAGGCTTGCTGTGGTAGGGTGGCGGGGGCCCACGCATCATCATGCTCCCCATCGACTGCGGGATCATGATCTCCTGCATGGGCCGGCCGTGGATGCTGATCTGCTCCTCTTTCCGTCGCTTTTCCTCGTAGTACTCTTCCTGCAACTTCCTCCAGGCCACTTGCTCTGGTGTCAGGCTGTCCTGGTTCAGCCGCTGCATCATCATGTTCATCTGCTGCCCCATGTCAGCGCCTGGGTGGTGGGACACCTCGTGTTCCAGACTGGGCCCACCAAGGCTCTGGGTCTGGGAGATCATGGACTGCAGAGGCTCTTCATACTTCTTCATGCTGGTGGGGGCTGAGGGGCAGTCCCCCCCTCACCCGCGTTTTGGCTGGACTTCATGAAGGGCTCGGCCTCCCCGCTGCGCAGCAGCAGACGCTCAATGTCCCTCAGGGTCTGCAGAGAGCGCTCTCGGTGCTCCAGCTGCTCCTTCGAGAGCCCTTCTGAGTTCATGGGGTTCCTGGGGCCCAGGCCTGCCTGCCCATTCCCCGGCATCCCTGGGCCTGGGCCCTCCCCGAGGAGGCTGGAGCTGGACGTGGCAGAGGAGTCCACTTGCCCGGGCTGCATGGTGTTGGCAGACGCAGTGGGCGTATTTGGGTGGTTACTTCCAGGCTGGTTGCTGCCACTGTTGTTCCCCAAAGAGTTGGGAGTCAGATCTCTCCGGACATCTTCACTTGTCCCTTCCTGGGGCAGGCTGCTGGGGGCAGGCAAAGGTGTTTGACTGATGGTCTGAGGTGGAGGCGGAGGCTGCGGCGGGGGAGGCTGTGGCTGACTCGCTTGAGGTGCCGGTGGTTGGGACTGTGGAGTGTTGGCAGCAGGAGGGTTAATCGGAAGTGGCTCAGCAACCCCCAGCACTTTAGGAGCTGGTGCCTGGCAGAGAAAAGGAAAACAAACCTGAGCATGAAAAACCCTGGGTAGGTATTCTTCCCCGCACCCTGCAGACCTCTCTGTCCCAAAAACATGCCCCGTGGCGGTTCACCTTCATTCCTTGTGGGGAAGAAGCAGGCCCTATTACATGCACTGGAAATGCACAATCAGGTATTCTGCCCACATGGCTGTGGGGCCACATACCGTGCCCCATCCCAAACTTTTCACAGCTGACAGCAGCCAGGACTCGCTCTGAAGAGGTTCCACAGCAAAGCAGCTTCCCACCCCACCGAAAGGGCATTCTGACACCCCCTTCCTCCACAGCTGAGCCAAAGAGCTGGGGGAGGACAGCCACATCAGAAGGGAAGAGTCAGCAGTCAGCAGCACGTGTCGACAGGAGCGTTTGGTTCATCGCTGGTATACCTGGTCTAGCTTTGCCCGTGGGACATTCTGCTGATGGTAGGCCAGAATGGAGTCAGCTCGGCCCTGCAGGACAGCTTCCGCAGCTCTGGGAAGAGAGCACAAACCGCTCGAGAACAGGCATTGGGCCCCATCCCACCCATCCCAGGCCCCAGGTGCCACCTCCGCTCTCCAGTCCTGCAGGAAGAGGGAAGTTGCTGGAGGTCACCGAGAAGGGGGGATATTCTCAGAGTCCTCCCCCACCTGTCCTGTACAGGCCCCAGTGAGGTTCTCCAGCTGGTGATCGCTTGCCCTGGAACTTCCCTCTTCCCATGTCCTGTGATGGGCACCCGGCTCTGCCTTGTGCCTGTTGCTGCCTGCTGCCCTAAGGTGGCTGTCGCCGAGATGCTCTGGGATCTACCACACCAAACCTGTGGTATAGCAGAGCTCTAAAACTAAACAGCCTTGCTAGGACTCCACGGCTGAGACAATGCAGGACAGAAGGGAGGAATCGAGTGGAGAACACCAAGTGTTACATGGCACTCCCCGTGACACCCAGTCCCTTAGGTACTTCCAAATTGGACCAGCAGTCCCTACTGCTTTGGGTGAATCTTTTTACTGGATGCTGACTAGACGTACTTGACGGCACGCGTCGCAGAACGCGGTGCTGGGCATCGCTGGGAGGAAGCGTGCATTTAAGACAAAGTTTGCCCACCAGCAGTAGCTGCCAGCAAACCTCCTGAACCTCAGGGGGGACCCACTCTGTGCAACCAAAGCCACATGGGTCAGTCCAGCTCTCTCGTACTCAAGTGCAGCACGCAACAGGCAGGTGTGACAGGCCGGCCCTGCGCCAGCAGAGGATGGACAGGGTTTACTGCTTACGTGTTAGCAAGGTGCGTTGTAAAGACGTAAACGAACTGTGAAGGCTGCTTTCCTGTTCCGCCGCCTCCGCCTCCTGCAGCGTCCGACCGTAAGCTGGGGGCAGCACCATGAGGCACACTGGAAGAGCTGGTCTCGTTCAGGTTCGGCAGTGGGTTGGACCCTGGGCCAAGCTGCGAGGCTGTGGACATCGCAGGATCTGCTACATTACAATCTGCGGGAGCGCAGGAGACAAGCTGCTAAAGCCAGTGCAGCAGGACAGCCCTCTGCTGCCTGCACCACGGGAAGGAACAGGCAGGAGGGAGGGAGCCGGGGGCCGGGGCGGAGACCTGCGGGGCGGCAGGGCTGGACATGGCCGGGCCCGGGCGCGGGGCAGAGGAAGAGCC